AGCATCATGGTTTGGGCCTGCTTTTCTTCAGCAGGGACAGGGAAGATGGATGGAGCCAAATACAGGACCATTCTGGAAGAAAACCTGTTGGAGTCTGCAAAAGACCTGAGACCGGGACGGAGATTTATCTTCCAACAGGACAATGATCCAAAAAATAAAGCCAAATCTACAATGGAATGGTTCACAAATAGACGTATCCAGGTGTTAGAATGGCCAAGTCAAAGTCCAGACCTGAATCCAATCGAGAATCTGTGGAAAGAGCTGAAGACTGCTGTTCACAAACGCTCTCCATCCAACCTCACTGAGCTCGCGCTGTTTTGCAAGGAAGAATGGGCAAGAATTCCAGTCTCTCGATGTGCAAAACTGATAGAGACATACCCCAAGCGACTTGCAGCTGTAATTGCAGCAAAAGGTGGCGCTACAAAGCATTAGCGCAAGGGGGCCGAATAATATTGCACGCCCCACTTTTCAGTTTTTTATTTGTTAAAAAAGTTTGAATTATCCAATACATTTTGTTCCACTTCACGATTGTGTCCCACTTGTTGTTGATTCTTGACAAAAAAAATATTTTTTATATCTTTATGTTTGAAGCCTGAAATGTGGCGAAATGTTGAAAGGTTCAAGGGGGCCGAATACTTTCGCAAGGCACTGTATATATATTTTTTTAAAACACAGGCGCCTGAAAGGTTAACAATATATGAACATGGAAGAGCTTCAATTTCAACGCATAAAATTAACATTGAAAATAGCAGCTCAATTGAAAATGGACACAATCCTTGTACTTTAAAGTGTATTCTGAAATGTCCCCACTGTGGGACAAATTAAGGATCTCTTAATCTTATTCTGCAAATTAAGGATCTCTTAATCTTATTCTGCAAATTAAGGATCTCTTAATCTTATTCTGCAAATCAAGGCCAAAAGGACCGTGTTGTGATTGTTAAAGCCATTGCGATGAAAACAAGCAACTTTATACCACAGTATCAGAAACCCAAACACATTGAAAAAAGAACAGGAGAATCAACTTTTCAGATTACAAATGATCAAATACTATCCCTCAATAGAGATAGGCCTGCACTGGCAATAATGGGCCCCAAAACACAGTTTTAAAAAATCTATTGAGTGAATGTAACAGGATAACATTAACCCTCTAGGCGCCACGGTCGACTTAAGTCGACAAGGTGCGGTACTGTTAAAAACGGCCGAGTGTGACCAACTGAGTGTCAAAATTCATTCATACTCCCTGCCACTAGTTGGCAGACATGTCAGACTACCTCCCTGGCCCCAAAAAACTTAATGCTCCTATACAAAATATTCGAGCAAGACCGCGTTGAACCAGTGTGGAAATCATAGTGAAGCGATGCAGCTGCGAGGGCAGCCTGCAAGTGTTGTACCGCACCAAACACTAACTTTAGACACTTTGCACAGGGTCTGCAGTGGGAACAGTGTTTCTTAGAGTAAGGCAAAGTCATTGGGAGGTTCGGAGACAGGTTAGATTTTCGGAAAACAAGCCTGGAACTCGGGTCGGGGCGCCGCGCCGCGACCTCCAGCCTCCGCTGAAGTTTCCGCCTAATGGGCTAGACACACGGGAGGCGACAAATGAGAGCGATCAGCGAAACTCAACGCTGTCGCTCAGATAACATGACAGACGGGGCGCGATGCGGCTTGACGACAGCGTCGAAAAGTTGAGCCGATTTCAACTTTCTGGGATCGCGTCGCTGACCTGCGCGTGCACGATACATGCACGAGCAGGAGGATTTCACACGCACGTTTTTCGCCCGTCGCTGAGCAGGAGGCTCGCTAGCGATTGACGCTATGTCGCGCACGTCCCATTGAAATGAATGGAGGCGATGCGATGTCGCCTCCCGTGTGTCTAGCCCATAATGGGCTAGACACATGTATCGTGCACGCGCAGGTCAGCGACGCGATCCCAGAAAGTTGAAATCGGCTCAACTTTTCGTCGCTGTCGTCAAGCCGCATCGCGCCCCGTCTGTCATGTTATCTGAGCGACAGCGTTGAGTTTCGCTGATCGCTCTCATTTGTCGCCTCCCGTGTGTCTAGCCCTTAATGGGCTAGACACACGGGAGGCGACATCGCATCGCCTCCATTCATTTCAATGGGACGTGCGCGACATAGCGTCAATCGCTAGCGAGCCTCCTGCTCAGCGACGGGCGAAAAACGTGCGTGTGAAATCCTCCCGCTCGTGCATGTATCGTGCACGCGCAGGTCAGCGACGCGATCCCAGAAAGTTGAAATCGGCTCAACTTTTCGTCGCTGTCGTCAAGCCGCATCGCGCCCCGTCTGTCATGTTATCTGAGCGACAGCGTTGAGTTTCGCTGATCGCTCTCATTTGTCGCCTCCCGTGTGTCTAGCCCTAAAGTCTCCGCTAAAAGTGCTTCCCACATATTTATTTTCAAGCCTCACGTAATCACCGGGACAGTAATGTGTTGTAGAAGCCTTGTCTTGTGTGTGTTAGACGAGAGAGAGCAGGGGAGATGAGAGAGAGAGTGGGGAAGACATCTGCAGCAGGAGGGTCGCGGTGACGCGCATCACGTGGAGGCGCGCGTCTGGGCACACTGCTCACAGCAGCACCATGATTTATATTTTTGTACTATTTTCATGAACATTTACAATGTTACAGTGTGTGCTCTGTGTGTGTTCATGTTCTAGTGATAAATATGTCTGTCAGTTAGAAAAATACAAATATTGTATGAAAATTCTAAAATCCACTATTTCTAACGCCAAATGACGTCATAATATGCAAATTAGATGGGGGGATTTATTCTCTACACAAACTTTGGACCATCCTTTATATTTTTCTAATTTACAGAAAGCCTTTATCTCTTATCACTTTTAAGTTATAGCCTTTTGAAAATAAGATGTCAAAATTGAGCGTTTTGGAAAAAAACCTCTGGCGCTTAAAGGGTTAACGCATGCAGTTTTCATTAGTGGGAAAGATGGTGGTCCAGTTAACACATTTCCCCACTGTAACCCATTTATATTTATGAAGTAAAAATTGCGATGCAAAACCAACAGAAATCCTGAATATTCATGTTTTTTTTTCTCATGTGGCCGCTCTATAACTCCATCATAAACTCACTGACATACTTTGACTCCACCTTGAACTTGTGACGTGCCCCAAACGCCCCAAACCCCGCACGTCCTGCCTCCCCTGTGCGCGTGCGTGTGAGTGTCTGCGCACGTGCACGAGGAGATAACATCGCCTATAAGCGGCGCTGCGTGACGATAAGCCACCGCTAACGCACTATAACCGCTGTTTATCACCGTGTGCAGACAGAGAAGAGATAAGGGCTGTAAATAACGGATACAGCATCGTCTACGCGAGGGGGGGGGGGGGGGGTATAAGCAGCGCGCAAACACAGAGGATCACAGAGGCTATTGTGGGATAACACCGGGTGGATTCTGGCAAAGCAGGCGGACAGGGCGCGTCATGTCCTCGTAGAGAACAGAAGGAGACGTGTGGTGCCCATGCGGTCCTACCTGAGTCTGACGCCCGGGAATAGGCGCGTCGGGTGTCGGGGATCTCTCCATGCAGCCGTCCATCCGGAGGACAGAGCGAGCTGGTGCTGATGAGAGGAGGGCAGAAATCTGAGCATGCGCAGGAGTGGGTGTGGGAAGAGGTTTAGAGGATGGCAGTGGTAAACGTGTCCTTTAATAGTTCCAATAATAGCCTATATGTATTAACATATCAGCATGACAAAGTCTCACTAAAATATGCAATATTATAGATAGTATTGTGTGTATTTCTGAAGTGAATGAACACCACGTGACAAAAGTGCACTTTTATTTTTTTAGATTTTTGTATATTCTTTGCACATGTGTTTGTGATGAATATAAGCTTGTTCTCTTCTCACCGCTTTCAAACAATCTCTCTCATTATTTGTCTGAAATGCTTCAAAAACATGTATTCCCATGGCGTATATTAATGAGTAAGTAAGAGAAGTTTATTTATACAGTGCCTTTCACAGAGCCTGCAGGGTCACAAAGCCCTCCCCTCTTTATGCTGCATATACCATGGATCTATACCGGCTGTATGTTCTCAGACAAAAATACCTTCTTCATTAAATCTTGTCCTTTAAAACTGACCTTTTAAGAGGGTGTAGAGCCGGGTTTGCTAAAGAGAAATGCTGAGTACCTTTTCACAATAATTTGGTTAATCAAAAACCAATGCCACCAATAAAGCTTAATATATAGAAAATGAAGGCAGGAGTTGTGGTATCCATCAGAACCTGCTGGATTAGCAGCAGGATCTGATGGATAGCAATAGACAATGCCTGCTAGCTCAATTAAGGCCAATAGCGCCCCCATGTGCTCTTGGAAAAAGTTTTGCTCCAACTCACTCTGGCTTCAATTTACTGACATTGTAAAGGTAACTACTCTTGCTTAGTAACCATTGGGGTCACACTCACCAGTTAGATTTTTTTTTAAGTGCGGTTTTGCGTAGTTTACATTTTGAAATTGTGTTTGTAAATCCACAAATGAGCGATATAAGGGTTGACCAATCAGATACTTTCATCCACAGGGGAAACTCCAGCTCGCCATAGCAACACATCTTCCCCTGTCACGACGCAAAGCAAACATTGTCGGAACAAATGCCATTTAAGAAAATTGGCTCCAGCTAATTTATAATGAAATTTCCCAAATGTGGGACAAATAAAGAATCTCCTAATCTTAATCTTAAATTGCCTTCCTCTGGATTTGGCAAACACTGAGGGTGACGGCATCACTTAGTCAGTCCACTCCTAATATACAGTCTATGTGGCTAAATCAAATAAAAAATGTTTATTTCAGAAAATGTACAACACAAATCCATACATAATAATATACATTCATACATAAATGTTTCAGCTGTAAGAGAGACAGTCTAAAAACAGTAAGACACTACGGGTGAATATGGCCGCTCAACAGAGATTTTTTGTGTGCATATAATAGACATTTTGTAGAAATTTAATCTCTCATTTTGATTGCAATAGCAGCACATTTCAGTCAAAATAGTAGTTCTGTACAAAGTAAAAGTTTTTTTTGTAATGTGGGATGTGATTGTAGATCAAAGCCGTCTCTTCTTCCTGTTCACTGGAAAACTTGTGCTGGTTTTTCCTGGCTGGGAAGAAAACAAATAAATAAATAACAATCTTCAGTACAAGAATACTTATCCCTACTTTTAGCACAATCTATTTTTCATGTTTTCAAAATCGAGAATGTGATGATGCAAGATATTTTCTGTTTGGGGAATAATGTTGAGTTCTTAATTATATAGGTCATTATTCAAATGACCAAACATCATGACATTTAACTAAAACGTATTGTAGTTCTCAAATATTGCACATATTTTACCTGTCTATATATTTTACATCTGTTCAATTTGTTTGTGCCCTGTTAGAATTGAACAAATATCATTTTTGGAGTGTTTTCTCATTCTGGCAAACTCTTATTGCAATGTTACTGTTAAATCCCAGTAAATGTTTTCTGAAATGTGTTCCTTCCCTTTAAAAGCTTCCTTTAAAATGAGTCAATTTGCACATAAAAGTTACTTTAAAAGGATTTTTCATGAATGCAATTGTTCCAATAGAAAGTTTTGTCAAAGTGCCATTTTGTTAACAAATCAGACCACACCATGTTATTTTGATCTTATCATAAAGCATGTTGTTATTTACACACTCGTAAGAAAGAGCCCTGTGAGTCACTATTTGACTTTTTAGGCTGAGAGCTGATTGACTGAGGAAAGGTGGTCCTCCATTTTTCACTTTTCTGTCTGAATAATCTGATATAGTGGCTAAAAGATACATGCATGTGAAAACTAGCGTTGAAACCAAACAGCCCAGTGAGATGGATCACACGGTTCAATGTGGTTTAAAAATAGGGCACCCCAGACAATAAATGTTTACTCAGCCTTGGATTTACCTTCAGACACAAAAAAGCTGGCCATGTGGAAGGAGATCTGGACGGCCGCAGCAGAGTGGACGATGCCAGGTTTGTCGATCCACTCAAAGGGGCCCTTCTCTGGGTGCCACTGCACACCGTAGAATGGGTACTGGTTACCTGGCGACCAGACAACAGTTAATCAGAAATGTTTTTGTATCTTTTCGGTCTTAATGCTCTGGTCTCAAACCTGTAATTGTCACAGGGTGAGATGAAAGATGACCCAAAATGCACAAAGTCAAAACATAATTGTTTAATGATGGTAAGTAAAAGTCCAGTGGAAAATCCATTGACAATGGACCAGAAATGAAAGAGGAGCACAGGTACACATAGAATCGTAGAGAGACACAGGGAATCAGGACAGGAAGTCAAACTACTGTAAAACCAAGTAAAACAACACAAAATCCACACATGACAGTAATAGTGTGGGGCGTTGCATTATTATACCTGCTGCTGTATGTGAGAACTGTATTATTATTATTGTATACAGTATTTATGTACATGCGTTTGCGTTCTGAATGTACTTTTGTTGTGGTGACGTGGAGTGGGGTCTGACGGAGCAAATCTGTCTTGTATATTATATATTTTGTGTTGTATATTGGGTGTTTTATTTTCATGGGACTCTCTCGAAAATGTGACGCTGCATCTCAAGGGGCATAGTTATATTACCATTCTTCAGTTTTAAAACACCCATAAATTGCCCATAAATAAATAATGAAGGCAAGGGTAATTGTGTGAGGTGTGACCAGGATCTTTTGATGTAAATCTTCCTGAGATCTATCCTGAAAACCCGGGGGGGGGGTGTTTATACGTGTTTATACTCCGTGTTTATACGGAGGTGCTGCAACAATAAAACCTTAGAGTTGGGTATCAGATTGGCTTCCCGTTTACATGGAGACAGTGCTTCAAAGGGCTCAAAACATAAGCGTTGGAAATCAGCCTCCAGGCGGTTAGCCCCCACTACGTAAGTAATTTAGTAAGTAATCTTTATTTATAAACCGCCTTTTCACTACAGATCTGAGTCTCAAAGTGGTTTACAATTGTTAATTATGGGCATTTATCTCTCACTCCACACAGAGATGGGAGCGGGGTCGCCGGTACAGGAGGCGCATGCTAGAACTATTGGACATATTTTTTTAGTGGTAGGGGAAACCGGAGTACCCGGAGGAAACTTACGCAGACATGGGGAGAACATGCAAACTCCACTCAGAAAGGCCCTGGTCCGACCGGGATTCAAACCCAGGACCTTCTTGCTGAGAGGCGAGAGTGCTATCCACTCAGCCACCGTGCCGCCCGCTGCTTAGTGGGGGCTGTTCCACAGCTGTGTGAATTCTCTGCCTGCAGTAGCCGAGAACAAACGTAAACAGCAATGGTGGCGGGTCAACTAATGCTACTCCTTCGTTCGTCCAAACGAAACCACATGAAGCTCTAGTTTCAGTTTCCATTATCACAGGAAGTGATCATACTGCTGGGGGGGCTGGGGGTTGAGTGTTTTGTGTTGTAAAGTTCCACCGCTCCCCTAGAATGGACGCTATAGAACAATGTTGTGTAGACACCGTGCACTTCGAATAAGGAGCCTGGTTGTTTTTGCTAATTGCTTTGCAGCGTCTCTGCAGCGTCTCTGCAGCGTCTCCGTCAAAACGGGCTCATAGTAAAAAAAAAAACATGTAGAAGAAAATCCTTTATTCGTCCCATGATCAGGCCCCAGACCACGGCAGACAGAGATGTGACTGCAGCTCTGTGCTGTCTGTAAGTTCTCCGTCCCTTCAAAAATCTTACTCTTTATAATTTTCCAGCAGGAAGGTCATAAAGGCTCTCCCCCTAATTATGTTGAAGGAAAAAAGTGTTGTATCTGTCCTGTAAATACTTTCTATCTGGATGAAGTAGCATTATAAAAAATAGAAATTGGCTTTTCCTTGACCAAATTTCAGTATGATGCATACAGACAAGCAACGAACCTCACTAAGGGCTAAGTGGGTTAAGTGTCTTGCCCAAGGACACAACAACAGCATATATTAGTGAAGTTGGCGGAGAAGGTCTTGTGGTGGGCTTGGATCCACGACCTTCTGGCTCAAAGGCCAATGCTCTACCAACTGAGCCAGTGTCGCCCCAATAATCTCTTACCTTCCATAGTGGAGATGAATTGCACTTTTCCATCGGTGTTGGTCGACAGGATCTTGTAAAACCTCTTGAGGAGTGGATTATTGTTGAAATCCTGCAGGTGAAACATGACACATGTTTTAAGACTCAATCAGAAGGTTATATGACAGGAAACATCTCCCATACCTGCACAGTCAGGCTCCATTGGTGGAAGTTGGCAGTAACATTTTCATGCGTGAGAGAGTGGAGAAGGTTCTTTGGGAAATGTCTGAAAAGCCGACTCCTTTGAACATCTGCAAAACATTAAGTATTTTATTATATTTTATTTCAGAATAATGAAGCTATCTCTGCTTTTGGAATAGTTTCAGTTGGAGCCATGCCTCGCCCCAAGCTGAAAATGTTGAAATACAAAGACGTGTAAATTAAAGTTGAAGAGCGGAGACCATGAGAGGAGAATTAGGGCTTTCACTGGGACTTTGCAAACACTCCATGACAGAGGTTTACTGCTGGGATCTGTCTTCAACGTCCTATAAGAGAATACCTCCTGTTCAATCCTATATTATAAGTAATCAAATAGCTATATAAAACAAACAAATGAAATAGAAATACATGATATATATATATATACATATATACATACACACATACATTCATACATACATACATATATCTTAAAATCACAAGTTGGATTTATTTTCACTCATCAAGACTGCAGGTCTGTTGTGACTTGGTCTGTAGCCATCAGTGTCATATGACAAAAAAACCCAAAAACATTGTCAGTAATTGAATGTGCATACACCAGTATTATTTTGATTATTTTGTTTGGGGTTCTAAATCTTTATATATATATATATATATATATATATATATATATATATATATATATATATATATATATATAAAAAAAGACAATGTCATTATGTCAAAAGATTATTATTTTATTATTGTAAATTCATGACTGAAGTTTATTCTCATAGTGTCGGCAAAACAAAAAAAGTCTGATGAGCCATTTTAATTCATTTTTGTTGTTGTATTTAAGTGTTTTAGTTTTCATTACGATAACTCGGGCCCTTGTCTCCCTGATGATCAGGCCCCTGAGACCACGGCAGACAGAGATGTGACTGCAGCTCTGTGCTGTCTGTAAGTCCTTCACCCTTCAGAAGTCTTACTCTTTATAATTTTCCAGCAGGAAAGTCATAAAGGCTTTCCCCCCCTAATCATGTTGAAGAAAAATATGTTGCATGTATCTTGTAAATACTTTCTATCCAGATGAAGTAGTTATTAATAAATAGGATTTGGTATCTCCTTGACAAAGTACTGAATAATGTTCAGCTGTGGGTAGAGTGAGTTATGTTACCCTGCAATCCTATAAAAAAAAAACATCACAGATACAGACTTCAGGCTTTAAATTTTTGAAAGTGTAGTTTTGAGTTTGCGGTTTCAATTTATGAAAAAAAGACATAATTAAAATATACATTCACAATCTAATCATAATGTTTTATTTTGTATGCATGTGAATGGTTACTTTTCAATAGTGATGACAATATGAAGCCCCATGAAGCCTTGAGGGATCGCAGCCTATTACTCGGCCCATGAGTCGAAGGCTCGAGGTGAATCATGCTCCACTACGCCATCATGTGGACAAAAAAATACATAACACTCTTAAGTGCTTACAATGAATGATGAGATCTAATGTTAAAATGTATCTTTACAATCTATGGTCTAACGTGTTGTGTTTGAAATGATGATTCATGAACTATGAACTATTTGAGTCTTTCAGTCAATTGTGTTGATACAACAAACACATCCAAAGTAATACAGTTCTACAGAAAGTGATTAATGGAGGAAAAACTACCAAGAGGTAGATTAATTAAACACAACAAACCATTTATTCCCAATAAATAAATACATTTACTTTGCAACACAAAATTTATCATGGGTAGACCAGGATTGGAACGCTATATCTTCTGCTTCGGAGTCCGTCATAGACCGACTGCGCCACACAGCTGTTGTGAAATGTATTATCCAGCGTATTATTACTAATAACTTGAAGCCTTGATATATGAGGTTTTACTAAAGTGAAACGTTTTTAATTGTATTTCATATGAAGTAGTTTCTCTATACTTAGTACAGGACTGCTCCACATCACGCACACACACGTACGCACACAGAGGCAGACGGGGACAGCCAATACAGTCTATGGTACAGCCGCAGATCACAAAGCACCTGTCAAAGCAATGCACTCTCCGAACTATATAAAGCACTATATGAACCGTCACGCGGTGCGCCGCTACGCGAGGCTTCGAACGTCACCACATACGTCACCAACACACGCCTCGAACCACGCTTCAAAAAATACGCCCCTTTTTACTCGGTACACGCTTCGAAGACCCGGCACGCTCAGCACATCACTACTTTTCAATAGTTCAGATGAGGCTCTGTGAAGCATCAACACTTTCAGCCTGTGCTGGTACATGTACCAATGCTTCATAATGATTCATTTACTCTATAACGCTATCTAGAGGCCAAAATGTACAATTGCTCAATTTCCATTACAGTACTATCACCAACACGTACTTCCTAACATGTGAAAGAACCATGAAACGCAGTATGAGAAAGGAATGTGCTCGTTTATTAAATGAGAATTCAAACATTGATATATTTCATTGTTTTTCATTGTTTTTAAAAATGTGTCCCCGATGTGGCTACAATCAGATGCATATATTTATCACATAAAGTGTTGAAAAGCAAAGGAAGGTTTCTCACCCATCATCTGTACTTCTTAGCAGGTTTTTCAAGGTAAAAAAATCTCAGACCACGCGTTTGAGATTTAAAACCTATGGGTGTTGTTAGCCACACCCTAATCCTGATGCTAACTCATTAACAAACTAAGGTCTGTTTGATGTGGAAGGGAGCAGGTCTTGTTGGCCCTTTACAAAACTCAGACCTGATGGTCTGGTCCCTGAGACCATGGTGCACAGAGGTGTGACAGTGATATCCAAAAGTGATTTAGAATGAGACAACTTCTCTTCCCTTAAAAGGTTCAATTAAATGGTAATTAGAAGTTATTATGATAATAACGCTCAAGATGTTCAGATAATTTATCATAATTATCCATACCAGCTGAAACGGCCTTGGTCAAGTAACTTTGTTATGTTTTTTTGAATGAGTGTGTTCGTGAATGTCAGGGTCAACAGAGGGGTTTTTTGTTCCTTGCAACTTGTTTCCATGATTCTCTGCTTCCTGAGACCATGATGGACTGAGATGTGAGTGCAGGTGTGTTGTGTCTATTCTCATCTCAATATACGAGGTCATTTAATGCATTTGATAACTTCAAAGATATACTTTGGACAATAACTGTTTTACCATTTACATTTAAGTGATGAGTTTCTGCATTTTGAATTAAAGCAAAATATAACCTAATGTTCTGAAATATACTCACATTCTAATCTTCATCTTTTAAAATCTTTCCTTTATTTTATCTGAAATGTCACTTTTTATTATTCTGTGAGATATTAAAAGTATTTGGTTCATCTATACCAGACAATATAAGGTTTTGTGATGTTATTACCTTGACATGTCACAAAACCTTATATTGTCTGTTATGGAAGAACCCAATACTTTTAATTCTACTGAGAAGACAAGATTAATCTTCCTAAACCAAAATAAAATCCTAACAAAAAATCTGTGAGATGCTTTTACCACATATATTCAACTTATATAATGTTGAAAATAACACTATCAAATTGAGACAATAAAGTAAGAGTTGATGAAAATATAACTCCATTGAAAGGTTTCATGAACTCTAGACGGGAAAGCCAGGATTTCAGGTCTAAAATGGAGTTAAAAAGAGCATCCATTGGCCTGGTGTCATTAGGAGACATGGAGATGTACAGCTGTGTGTCATCTGCATAACTGTGGAAGTTGATTCCATTAGTGATGGCAATATGAAGCCACATGAAGCCTTGAGGGATAGCAGCCTATTACTCGGCCCATGAGTCGAAGGCTCGAGGTGAATCATGCTCCACTACGCCATCATGTGGACAAAGAAATACATAACACTCTTAAGTGCTTACAATGAATGGTGAGATCTAATGTTAAAATGTATATTTACAATCTATGGTCTAACGTGTTGTGTTTGAAATGATGCTTCATGAACTATGAACTATTTGAGTCTTTCAGTCAATTGTGTTGATACAACAAACACATCCAAAGTAATACAGTTCTACAGAAAGTGATTAATGGAGGAAAAACTACCAAGAGGTGGATTAATTAAACACAACAAACCATTTATTCCCAATAAATAAATACATTTACTTTGCAACACAAAATTTATTATGGGTAGACCAGGATTCGAACGCTATATCTTCTGCTTCGGAGTCCGTCATAGACCGACTGCGCCACACAGTTGTTGTGAAAAATATTATCCAGCGTATTATTACTAATAACTTGAAGCCTTGATATATGAGGTTTTACTTAAGTGAAAAGTTTTTAATTGTATTTCATATGAAGTAGTTTCTCTATACTTAGTACAGGACTGCTCCACATCACGCACACACACGTACGCACACACACGTACGCACACAGAGGCAGATGGGGACAGCCAATACAGTCTATGGTACAGCCGCGGATCACAAAGCACCTGTCAAAGCAATGCACTCTCCGAACTATATGAAGCACTATATGAACCGTCACGTGGTGCGGCCGCTCCGCGAGGCTTCGAACGTCACCACCTACGTCACCAACACACGCCTCGACCCACACTTCACAAGAAACGCCCCCAGATTACTCGGTCCACGCTTCGAAGACTCGGTCCGCTCAGCACATCACTAGATTCCATGTCTCCTGATGTCACCGCCACGAGGGAGCATGTACAGGTTAAAAAGGACTGGACCTAAAATGGAACCCTGGGGCACACCACATGTGATTTTATGGATTTTATTGAACGTAGTAACGTACATACACCATATACCAATAATCTCATTTTGATAGGGTTCAAAATCGTTATATGTTTAAAAAAGATGACTAAGATTGTATTTATTATTATTGTCATAATGTTTTATTTTTCCTAAAAATGCTTTTGTCTTTAATCTCATAACGACTGCAAAACAAAAATAGTCTGATGAGCCTAATAATGTGTTGTAATGAATTGTCTTTCTATTTTCATTATAATAACTCGAGCCCTTGTTTCTGATGCTCAAGCCTCTGAGACCACGGCAGACAGAGACAGCTCTGTGCTGTCTGGAAGTTGCCTAATGTTATTATGCTAGGTATTATTGATTGACTGCGGAAC